CTAGGTCTACACTCTAGCCTAGTGGGCTCGGTCGACCGTTACCAAGTAAGTCCGAAAATTTCACTCTATACCATACAGCGACGGCTATTATCGAACCTACACAATATCTACGGTTATCGCCAAGTCTTTTGGGTGTTACGCTGTAACCCGCGCGCATTTAACCGTGTAACCGTAAATTCTAGTTACAGTCGAAATACCGTCGACGTCGTGATCGTAAAACCCTAGAGTCACCCAGAGATTCGGTCACTAAATGCCCGTATCTCAACAGCGACTCCGTCGGCCCCACCATGTAGCGCAACAACCCTCACATACAAGCGCCTTCAGAAAGAAGCGTCTTTCTCTCTCGAAACACTCCTAGAATGAATGTCACCACATAAGAATAGGTAGTTCAATCCTGGAGCTAGGAGTACTCTAGCCTAGGTCGGGTCTACTTCCAAAAAGTGCAACTATATGCATTTCGTTCCATCAGCCGGTCACTCTACCGGTTATAATACGATTTCCGCTCGGACTTGTGACCGGGGCACTGTTAGAATTCGGTGATTATAGTCAGCCGAATTATCGTGTGATTAGGATTCGGCCCATGCAAGTTAGGGTCTAAACTAGGAATGCTGGCGTGCGTGTACGGCGGTTGGATGGTTAAAGCGTTAGGGGGTTTGGAGATTAGACGGTTGAGAGAGTTGTCAGTGTAAGCCGTAGATGAGGATATCGAAGGCTGAAATTGAGAGGGCTTGTGAGCTACGCTAGTGAGCCTAGTAGTCTGTGAGCCTAGTGGAACTGCAGAGACCTGTGAGACGATAGTGGTGAGAAAGACTATTGTTATACATCATTCTATGAGAAATGTGTAAAGAGAAGAAAGCCGCTTGTGAGGCGCTTCATGTGTTGAGTCTTAGGATGCATGGCTGCCATCAATGAGTGATGAGCTTGGTGCCGGGCAACGCGAATAGACCCGATGACGAGTAACTCAACTACGTTACGACTCCCTACACTGAGTTTCAACAGGCACTATACTGCTAGTGGTCGGTAGTATCGTACTACTAGTGGTCAAGGTAATATACTACTCGAGTCGCGACTAACAATCAACGATCCACAATCCGAGTCAACACGCAACCCGACGGTCAATACCCAACGACACAAACCACTAATTTACGGTCGCTATACACGTCACAAACCACAATCCTACGGCCGATGTTACACGACACATCCACGATCCTACGGCTCAATTCTGATGAGTCTAATTCAAGAATTTGGTTGGTTATGAATCCCATTTCTCAACACGATGTCGGGTCCCTCGTGCACACCCAGGTACAACGGGCTTCCCACACACTGGCTGTATGGAAACTACTTATGTAAAGGGTGTGTGCGCGCCTCTCTATCGAGCATCAGCTTCAGCCCAAGGAAGTACGTCGCCTATTCCAGATTGGGTTGTAATATCTCCGCCAAGCGCGCCTTCTCTTTGCAATTGAATTCCGCGCCCTGGGCCGCCACGAGAATATCAGCCACCCTCCCGAGAACGTAGATCGCTCCCCGTCTGTTATCCTTGTGAGAGCGGGGAGAAGAGGCTAGGTGTGAGCGGGACAATTTGTCCGTGTGGGAGTATTGAGAAACGGAGTTGATTGACGGCCAATTGTTGAGTTAGGCTCGATAGATTTGAGCCGTATTATCGTGAGTTGTGTCGTGTAATATCCACCGTCCGATTGCGGTTTGTGTCGTGTAATATCGACCGTAGGATTAGATGTTTGTGCCGTTGAGTATCGACCGTCGGATTGCGTTTGACTCGGATTGTGGATCGTTAGATGTGAGTTGACTCGAGAAGTATAGTATCCCGACTACTATAGTAAGGTACTACCGATCACTAGTGGTATAGTGCCCCAGTAACACGTCCGAGTTGAATGTAGGCCGTATCGTGAGTGATAGAGTGACCGGTTGATTAAAAGGAGTCCATATAGTTGAACCGGCCAGTGGGTGGTGCAAGTAGACCCGACCTAGGCTAAAGTACACCTAGCTACGGGATTGGAGTGACTTTGGACTATTGTCATGTGATGGTATTAATTTCAAGAGATGCTTGAGGAGAAAAAGGCGCTTCTTTGTGAAGGCGCTTATGTGTAAGCGTGGTTAGACCCTAGCTTGTGACAAGCATGAGTGAATGATTTCAACAAAGCGTGTGGGGAGAAGGAAGCCGCATGTGAGGCGCTTCGTGTTTTCCTCTTGGATGCATGGCTGCCACCATTGAGTAATGTGCATGCCGAGTACTGCGATAAAATCCGATAACGAGTGAACACAACACAATCTAGTCCAATCTCAGCAGAGTCCACTTGGTGTAGATCCAAGTTGCGCTCCTCGACCACTGCCAGCAGCACATGCAACGACGTTTGCTTGCTCATCAGGGCGAACTTCCTTGAGGTGAAGCCCTTGCTTCTGCAAGAGCTCTTTGCCACCAGCCCAAACTTGTATTGCTCCACATCACCATGAGCGTCCCGCTTATCTTATAAACCCACTCTATGGAACCCGCTTCACCCCTCCGATTCTCGACGATCTCCCACGTCCCGTTGTCCAACAAGGGAAGCATCTCCTCGTCCACAAAAATTCCGCAAGAGGTCGCTGTTGTCTCCCCCTACGGCTGCCTAATAAATTTGCGCTTCTGAATGCTCCCCCGTCCCTTTGGCGTGCTCCCCCGCTTCAGGGTTTGCCGCCAGGTTGGCACGGTATCATTCCTCGATGTCCTTCTAGCACGGACGAGGTGAGTTTGGCAGCCGGTGTTTGACTCCTTAGCTCCATCTCCATTTTCCCGGCTCGGCTTTACATGGGGCATGATCGAAAACTCTCTGATTTGGCCCGGTTTTGAATTCAACGCGCTAAGTTGCGCCGAAGGGTCTTGGGGCCCCAATTCCGAGAAGGGCCCCCTTTTGACCACTACCGGATTTGTCTGCCACTTTCCTCCGCCGTGGGCGAATACTTTTTGATGTCGGACCTATCCTCGACAATTTCTTGTCGTTTGCTGCTCGTCGAAAATTTATGTCCGGGCGGATGGTGAGCTTCCGTCTCTCTTCGGAAGCACTCGAGTCGCCTTGAACTCCGGATCTTACCCCACGAACACAGCTTCGCTTGCTTATTGGATCCAATCTCCGTCTCCGGCGCTTCGCCACGTGCGCATATGCCCGCATACCCCCATGTGCCCCACTTAATGCCGAAGAACGCCTCTCACGGGGTATAATTCCGTACGCGTCCACTGTTGAAAGCAAGCGCCTTTCAAGTGCACAACCACAAGGAAGGAGTGTGGTTTTTTTTAAAATCGAGTCCAAGTCTTATAGCCTAGCTCAAGCCTAGCTATTACCCTAGGTGTTTCAATCGCAAATCGACGGTCCTTATTCGATGTCTACAAAAGAACCCATCAAACGGCTACACCGAATACACATCATAAAAGAACCCATGCACAATGGACTCAATTGTACGGCTTACGTTTCGCACATCCTACGGTGGACTTTCAATCATGCAAGCTCACAATCGTACGGCCAAGCTTATGCATCAAACCTACGATTCTATGGACGATATATCATAGGGTATTAGGGCGTACTCAAGGCTAGTAGCGCATAAAACACTCACAAATGCTCGATTTCTGGGGTGTTGGCCGTCAAGGCCTTCGGTCACAACTCTTTGAGCAGGCCCAAGTCCCTCAATGCCTCAAGCATTGCTCAAACATTCTCAACAAATAGCCGATTGGCCCGCTTTGCCGACCCGTTTAGTTCGGCCGTGTGTGGAGTCTTCTCGGCCCCGTTCCCTTGCCCCTCAACTTTTTATTGATGGCTTTGTTGACGTATACCTTTCCCCTACTCATCTGCACCGATTTGAGTTTCTTCCCTGATTGCAACCTCAACCGGTTGGTCACGTGCTCAATCACTTTGGCCACCTCGCTCTTTGGCTTCGTGGGAAGGGAACTACTGTTGAGATACGGGCATTTAAGGACCGAATCTTTGTATAATCCTAGGGTTTTAGAATCACGACGTCGACGGTTTTGACGGTAACTAGTAGCTACGATTACACGGTTAAATGCGCGGGGGTCACAACTTTACACCCCGAATGACTTGGCGATAACCGTCGATATCGTGTAGGTTCGATATAATAGCCGTTGATGTACGGTATAGAGTGAAATTTCGGACTTACTAGGTGACGGTCCATTGAGCCTACTAGGCTAGAGTGTAGACCTAGACATAGGCCGTGACTCGGAACACTCCATATACAATGTGTGA